TTCTTATTTTCATATGTGAGTTTCATGCATCAAGACTTTTTTTTATTCTTCTAGATCCTTTTATCTATTATATATATTTTATCACATTTTGTATCATGTTTTTTTTAATATTTTCTTTGATTGTTAATTGAAAATGTATTTTAAATATTTATATTCTTAATTATGTGTTTTAATCGTTTTTATTTGTAGTTAGTTGTTCTATTTGTTTTTTTTTGTTGCAATATTTCAAAAAGTCAAATGTAAATAAAAAACATTATTGTTATAATTATTAATAATTTAAATATTTTTATTTAATATTGATTAATTAAATTATTAATTAATTTTATTAAATATTTATATTTAAACTAATTAATAATTCTCTTGTTGTCCGTTTTTATATCACGATTTATTTGCTTCCATGTTTCGGACTTGTTTTCTTTGATTTAATCTCGATGCTTTTCTTTGATGAATCTGATTAATTGATGATGTTTCTTCTTGATGCTTTTCCTTAATGCATCTGATTAATTCTTGATGCCCATAATGCTTTGTCATGAGCTCTGTTGTATTCGTTCATACCATGATACTTTGCCTTATGAGATGGTGATTGACTATATGTCTTGATGATTGCTTTACACATATGTTACTACTTGCTCATGAGCTTAACTTTGATACTTGAGGCTTTGTGTTGTGTTCTTGAATATTATAATGATTATAGCTTGTTTGACATTCACTTGAGGTCTTTGAATCTTTGCGGTTGAATATGTCTGAGTCCAAGGGGAAGGTTCATGGTTGACTTCATTGTCATTTGCATATGCATTTTGTTTCTTTACATTCTTCACACACAATATGATCCTTGTTTCCTTTTAAATTGCTTACCTTAGGATGTATATACTTAGATTTTTGACCTTAGATTAATTACTTTAAGTTGTGACCCTCTTAGGTAGTTACCCTTAGATGATGTACTATTAGGTTCCCTTTTTCAAAACTAAAATTTTTCATAGAAACCTTGACATTAGGTCATTGAATTTTTCAAACCTCTTTCTTAATAAATGCTTCAAGACATCTTAAGCATATTCAAACCTTTTTCACAAGACTAAAAGACACAGACCTTATTCAAACCTTTGCCACTTTGGCTTTTTAATTTAAAACCTTTTCAAATAGATTAAACATTAGTCATCCTTAGTTGAGATATAAATCTCTTACCTCATGACATTATTGAGAAATATGTTGATTCTTTTCCACTTGAGAGAGGTATGCGGCATACTTGTTGATTATATATCCAAGTTGGAGCCCTTCTCTCAATGTGAAGCAAGGATCCATCTTCCACATGTTTGTGGTGGATTAGTTGAGTATTCTCTTTAAGATGACAATTTGTCTATTCTTTATTAAAATCCATCTTAACAAACCTTTTTCAATTTGTACCCCGAACAACGAGGTTTTGATCCTTCATTGGTACGTAGGCACAAGACTCCGTGTCTTACCAAACACAAAAAACAATAAAAAACACTTATCTTCTCATCTCTCCAATCAATCCCAAATAGAAATTTTTTAACATAACACAAATACCACAAGAGGTTCCTATAGGATACTACAGATACTTAGGGTGCTGGTCATTCACTTAGTATAACCAACCTCCGTACCTTAGATTTCTTCTCTTGCTTAACTATTAGTTTTACTTTATGCTTTGCATGTTTATTTGGGTTTATTCCTCATTTCCCTTCCCTTGGATAGATTAAAGACCGGTGATGATATCTTATGTTTTGTGAAGTCTAGCTAACCAATAGATGTGGTCTCCGATTCTCACTGCGACACAAGACATTGCATGACAGCATGGAAGTCCAGTCAGCATCCATATTCTACATGAACATTCTTTCTTATAAAAGTTGATCGCATATTTTTCTCCATTGAATGAAGTATGCCTTACCTCATAATCATATTCACCTGCATGCATGTAAACAAATAGCCATTTTAATGTGAGTCCATGTAAAAAAGTAGCCATTTGAAAGTAATATTCAACAAATCAACCATGTTATCTCACAATCCAATGATTGGTTTTTTGTGACTCTATTTCCAGCCTCTTCTTGATGTAGGTAGTATGAAGCCTTCATATTTGGAAATCTTTTGCCTATTGGATTCCCTTCCCTGTATTAGATAAACTCTAATTTCTTCAAGCATGGTCACAATGGGCTTGAATCTAGTAGCTACAAACACAGAATTGAAGACCCCTGATATATTGTTAACCAAAGTGTCACAACCTGAACTTGGCTGGAACCTTGATTTGTTCCCGAATCCTAGTGGAATTTTGATGAGATGTTTGAAAGCCTCTTCATTAACTCCCTTGATTTCAAGCATTATTTTCTTCCAAGCATTTACATAACTTGCACATGCAGCCCTCTACATCAATTCCTTCAATTTCAGGCCAGGGAACTTCTTCCTGAAGTTGCTATATAAATGTCTACAATATAAAGTAAGTGTAAACCAAGTAGGTCATGAAAGTAATCCAGAAGAACCAAGTAGGCCATATGCAACATTTAAGTAAACAAAATACCTAACACATAATCTCTGGTCAACATTACCAAGTAATTCATCAAGAGCTGCCAGCAAACCCTGCATTCATAATTAAGTAAGATTGATGGCGAAATTAAAACAATTGCCTAACAATTAAAATTCAAGGTGAGAGTTAACCTTTTGTTGATCACTAATGAAGGTATAGGTTTTGCACAACCTGATTCCTCCCAAATCAGGTATCAATAATTCTAGAAACCAGCTCCACGAGTCTTTAGTTTCACCTTTAACAACAACATATGAAATTGGTAGCACTTGGTCCCCTCTTCCACCACATCTTCACCTATTGTGGTCCCACCTTCATTACTTCCCTCTTTCATGTACTTCACCAACCTCATCTTCAGCCATTGCAGTCTCATCTTGATTATTAACCATATCAGGCCCTTCACCAAACATATCTTCACCCAATACGTTCCTATCTGGTAGTGAGAGTACGGGTTTCTCAATAACATCTGGTTGAGATACATGATGTGTAACATACAAATGGTATTCCCCAGTTAACACTCCAATTATTCTCATCCTATCACCCGTAACCAAATTCACCAAAATTTCTAAATATTCGGCTGTATATGAGTTTTCACTAGATTTAAAAAAAAACAATATAGACCATATGAATTCTACCAAAACTTTGAAAAATTCGGTATAACCTATGAATTTACACATAATTTTTTGGAAAAATAGAAAAAAAATTTGATATCGATCTTTTTAAAGTCCGACATACACACAGACACTCACAGACATACAGACGCATACACATATACAAACAGACACGCACACGCATATCCTACGAGAATGTTATTTTTATGTGAGAACATAAGAATGAATCTGAACTATTAGATTTTAAAATAAATAGTGGAGATTATGTGTGATTTTTTGTTTTTCTCTCTCCTCCATTATTAAAATAGTGGAGATTACGCATGTATGTATGTCTATATATATATATATATATATATATATATATATATATATATATATATATATATATATATATATATATATATATATATATATATATATATATATATATATATATATATATATATATATATATATATATATATATATATATATATATATATATATATATATATATATATATATATATATATATATATATATATATATATATATATATATATATATATATATATATATATATATATATATATATATATATATATATATATATATATATATATATATATATATATATATATATATATATATATATATATATATATATATATATATATATATATATATATATATATATATATATATATATATATATATATATATATGTATGTATGTATGTATGCGGATGCAAAAATATTTGGTTATTGGGGCCAAAAAATATTGTCAATAGTATTTATAAAAAAATTATTTTTTATATTTTTAAAAATATTAGTTTAATTGTAATTTTGGTCTCTCTAATTTTTTTAATTTTAATTTTGATTCCTCCATTTTAAAAATCATAATTTTTGTCATTTTTTTTAAATTTTGTATTAGATTTTGATATTTTTTTGAAGACTAAAATCTAACCAAAAAATTATAAAAAAAAATCAAAACTGTGATTTTTAAAATGAGAAATCAAAATCTTAAAAAAAAAAAGAAGAGTAAAAGGGAGGAATCAAAGTTACAATTAAATCAAAAATATTTTAAATAAATTTATTATTTTATAGAATAAATTTTTTTAAACATAAAATTTTATATTACAATATGTCTATTATGCTAAATAACCTATATAAATTAAAAGACTATTTGATTAAAATTGTTAACATTGATTTACTTATGTTCTTTCACATAATTTTTTTATTTCTTTTGGCCATTAATTTATATAGGTAATAATTAATTTTTTATGAGGACAATTTTAAAAACTTTTAGACATTTATTAATAATATTTTTTACTTTTGTGAGCTTAAGTCCCCTTATAGATGCATCCGCCCTTTTATATATATATATATATATATATATATATATATATATATATATATATATATATATATATATATATATATATATATATATATATATATATATAAAAGATTTTTCATGAGTTGTTAATAATTTAATAAGAACGCAAAAAAAAATAAAGACATACTTATATGTCAATATCCCATAAATTCCTCAAAAATCCAATTTCTTACCATGTATTTTGAAAAATTCCCAAAAATGAGTTTTATTTTTACAAATTCACTTATTTTTATTTAAAAGATATTTTAGTAAAATCACCCGAAGTGTGGGTGGCATGTTTAATTTTGGGGGTGTGAGGTTGAATTCACATGAGTTTTGCAAAGCTGAAGTAGCCAAGAGGGACAGACATAGCCTGAGACACGTGATCTCTCTGGGATCTGTTGCGGTTCCTTCCTCTTCATTCCTTCGATCCCCATCTCAGATTTCAACACAACCCATTCTTTCTCAAGTTTTGGGTTTAGATCTCTCTCTAATTACCAATTATGTTCTTCTTTGATTGGTTCTATGGCATTCTTGCTTCCCTTGGTCTCTGGCAAAAAGAAGCCAAGATCCTCTTCCTTGGTCTTGATAATGCCGGCAAAACTACCCTTCTTCACATGCTCAAAGATGAGGTCAATTACTCCTTTCCATCTTTAACCCTTCATCGTCAAAATTCGATTTTTCGAATAAAAATCTGATTTTTTTTATAACGTTTTTCGATTTTTGTTGCAGAGGTTAGTTCAACATCAGCCGACCCAACATCCCACTTCGGAGGAATTGAGTATTGGAAAGATCAAGTTTAAAGCTTTTGATTTGGGTGGTCATCAGATTGCTCGTAGAGTTTGGAAAGACTATTATGCTAAGGTCTGTTTGATATGGGTTAGATCTTTCTGTTGATTATCAATTTCTTGTTTTTTTTAGCGAGTACTTGCAATTCTTGGTGTGATTTTGAGTTTATGACAGTGGAATTTGTTTGTGGGAGGTGTTTTTGTTAGTGCCTTCTCTGCTGATGCTGTTGATAGCTTTTTGGTCTTGGTAACAATATTATTGTTCTACTTTTGAGGCTCTATTGTTTGTCAAGGTTATGATCTATGTTGTGCCAACACTTTGAATGAAAGCGTGTCTAAGGTCTGTCCAACAACGGCTGCACATGTCAATGGCTGCTCATTCAATTTTCTCAAATTATTATTGGTAGTGTTGACATGTTAGTGCCGTGTTTGGTGTCTTGTCTATACTAGTGTTTCATAGGTTTTACTCACTGTTGTATGTGGCGATCATTTGCTGTTGTTGCTATAAATATTTGAAATATTCAGGATCTACATTTTAGATTCTGGATTTGTGCAACTTTTTATGATTCATTCTTGGTAATAATTTAATGTAGCACAATTATCGACTGAATTTTACACAAGTGTTCACTGATTCAGAAGTTTATGCCTTCATAATCCCAGATAAAGCTCTTTGTATTTAACTGATTCATGGGAGGCATAAAGTAACAGGAAGTTTCGCTGATAGCACCTCTTTTAAACCCTTCAGGAGGTGTTTACTAGTTGCCTTCCACACATTTACTTTTTAATAAATTTAATCATCTCTTTTAAGTACCCGAAAACGAAGTTTTGAATTGATATATGATTTGGTTGAAATTGACTTGTTTAAACTTATCTATTTGCGTAAGCACTTGCGAGACTGTTTTGACGCGACTGCTTATCCAGGTGGATGCGGTAGTTTACCTAGTCGATGCCTACGACAAAGAGAGGTTTGCAGAATCTAAGAAGGAGCTTGATGCCTTGCTCTCAGACGAATCCTTGGCAAATGTTCCATTTCTTATTCTAGGAAACAAGATTGACATCCCGTACGCATCTTCAGAAGACGAGCTACGGTATCATCTGGGCTTAACCAATTTCACCACCGGTAAAGGAAAGGTGAATCTTATAGACTCCAACCTTCGACCTCTTGAAGTATTCATGTGCAGCATTGTCCGCAAGATGGGATATGGCGATGGCTTCCAGTGGCTTTCACAATATATCAAGTAGAGTCCAATCTGTTTGCTGGTCAACTAGGCACTGTTGTGCAGTTAAATCACAAGTTATTTACCTTTTGTTTTTGCTTTTGATTGGATTATTTGATACAACTGCAGTAATATTACATGGTAATAACATTTGTATCTGTAGAGGTTTTTTTTGAAGTACTTTATGTTGTAGGATGGATTGGCATGGCAGAAACTTAAATAATTTTGAAGAATCTTAATACAGTTTTTTCCTCTTACATGTTAGTGGAAGCAGTGTTTTATCATATCTACCTTATAATATTGGAGAGAAGTGTAATTGTATGACTCAATGGAGGTTTCTGGTTTGTTACAAAAAGAAATATATTGGAAAAAGTGGTAGCATCTTTTTCTCTCAAAAATGGTTCATAATTCCAATGTGTAGTTACTTTCAAGGTGTTTGAATATCTCCTTAATCGCTCATTCAATTTGGATTATGTTGAGTGGTTGAACACTTCAACTGTGTACGAGGAGGAGATTAGAGTAGCCAATAGTGGCGTTATCCTGCTTCACTGGCTGCTATGGAAAGAGTTTTAGCAGTGCAAAACACTATGGCTGCCATTGTTTTCCTCTCAAAAACCGAACTTACTCTATAAGTTTAAAATGTTTTAAGATAATTTTAGATTTTTCTATCAAATTTGAGTTGAGATTTTCCTTCACCACCGTTTTTAAAGATAAACTTAAAATTTTCAATCAAATTTGAGTTGAGACTTTTCTTCACCACCGTCGACTCTTCCAAAACAAAATAACAAGTTCCATCACCTCTCTCTATACTTCATATATTTATAATTATTATTCATGTAAGTTTTTCAAAAAATATCAAATATCAGACATCTTGCAATACGCTATCCTATTTTTTAAGTAGGTCGTTTGGTGCAATGCACATCCTATTTTATTTTATTTGGAATTTCTTATAATATTTTATGGGGTTAGAAAAACACCTTATGGAAAACTTAAAACATATCTTAGATTTCGCATTTCGGCGATACATCTTCGAACACATCTTATTTTAAAATCAAAACGTTAATTGGTTTAGGGATGCATCTCAGAAATATTTTAAAACACATCATATGCATTTCAATCTGAAAGACATTTTACACGTTTATTGTTTCAGAGATGTATCTCCGTTTAGTGTTTACGGAGATGCGTCTTCGTACCCCATCAGAACAATTCAAATTATATTTTTTTTATAGTTTATTCAAATGAAAGTGATAATTTATAAATGTTAAGTACCCTGTTATGTGAAAGATTTAAACCATATATTCGATATGCAAAAATTGACATATATTAATCCAAATGGTTCAAAAATGACATATATAAATAAAGTCGAAATACATGATAAAATAGAATGAAGTGAAAATAAAATACAATCTATATTGTATCTAAAGTACAACTACTATATACTAATGCATATGTCAGACGAAAATTTTATCCCATACCCCTACCATTATACCCATATCCCTACATAAAATTTTTTGGACCAAAATACTCTCGTATAAAAATTTATAACTTTTTTCATTTGTTCACCGTAAGACTTATTCACTGGAAGACTTTTTGAAAGTCTTCAGGTTCACATTTTTTTCGTTTGTGATATTTTTTTCATTTGTTTACCGGAAGACTGTTAAGAAGTCTTCTGATTCATTTTTTTTTAGTTTTTAAATTTTAAAATAAATTATTGACATTATGTGTCATTTTTTTCTCTCTCATTCATCTTTTATTTTATATTAAAAATTTATTATTGAACATCAATTCATTTTTTTCTTACTCAATAAATTCAGATTTTTGCCTTAAATATATAGTTTTCATATACTGATAATTTAAATTAGAATAAAAATGTTATTAATAAAATAGTTGAGACAAGTAATAATAATCAATATTATTAGTTTTTATTATTGTAATTATTATATATATATATATATATATATATATATATATATATATATATATATATATATATATATATATATATATATATATGGTTTGTTTAAAACAAAACCAAAACCAAGTTTCATACATTTTTCTTTAAACGAAACAAAATAGTCATCAACATCATAAAAGAAAAAGAATCAGGATCATAAAACAACACGGACAAACAGTGAATCCATCAAAATGGAAAACGATTTCATCAAATCAAAACCAAGGAAGAACAAAACGACAATGGATCCACCTTCTCCTTCATTCAATCGGTCTGTAACCTCTTACTCAGCTCGCTCGCATTTCAATCACTTTAGTTTAGGCTCTGTCTCAGGTTTGTTTGTTCTTGTATCGAATCTCACTCGTCTACTCTCTCTTCATCTCATCTTTGATTGTGTTCTGAGTTTATTTTAATGATTTAGGGATTTTTGGGTGTTGAAGGTTGAAGGGAGTTTGTTTTTGGTATTTGAAGGTTTGAGGAAGAAAATGGAAGGTTATGGTTGTTAGGTTGGTGGTTTAGAATGATGAAGGTTGAAGAAGGTGGGTGAAGAGAAAGGTTTTGGGTTGTACTGATTGAGGTTTGTGAAAGAAGGTTGAAGAGGAATTTTTTCAGCATCTACTTGGCTCCAATGAGCTTGCCTTGAGAGTGAATGGGAGGTGGTTTTTATAGAGGAATATGAGGGCATTTATGGAAGAATTGTTGTGTGGAAAGATTGTGACGTGGTATTGTAACATTTTCGTACGAATTACAATTTTCGTTTTCAATTTCTCGTACAACCATTGTGTTTTTCTGTTTTGATACTTATAACCTGCGTTTTTCTTCAAGTTATTTTACAGGCCGTGTTGCACACTTCATGGCTATGCATCGTGAAATTTTGCGTATTGGACCTTCAGGCTTGCGTTTGGCTCGGTGTGTTGCTTCTTTTTGGATTATTCTGCAGGTAGTTTCCTATTTGTGACGTTGCGCAAGGTTTGTTGGCTTAGTTATGATAGTTTTGGCTAGGTTCGTGCTTTGGAATTGTGTGTAGAATCATGTTATATTGGTTTGGAAAGTCGTGTATTGGTCATGGAAAATTGTGGTTTGGAAAGTTGGGATATTGTTTGGTTTTGTTGTGTGGCTGAAAGTTGGTGCAAGTCATTGTGGAAAATGTTGGATGCCAGATGCGTATTGTGATTTTATGAGCTTATTGTGTGGAAGCCGTATTGGTGCGTGTGATGTAGCTGACATTAAGGCTGGTGCAAAGCATGTTCATTTGGTGTATTTTTTATTTATTTAATGGGCTTCACATGATGGGCTTTGTATAGGATCATGTAATGGACTTTTTGTAACTCATTTGTAACTCATGACTTTTGTTATAATTTTTGTGTAATAATGTTAAGAAATGAACAATGGGCTTTATAAGGTGTGAGCTTCAAATACTGAATTCACGATCCATATTTTTGGTAGAAACTTTTGTAGTGTAATGGATTTTGAAAACTTTGCAATTGGACCTGAATATTATTGACACATCCTCCATATCTTGCTTGAGCCCAAACTTTGCATCAAAACCTTGAATTAAATCTCGAGACATGACTAAAAGTATACTAGATCTGACTAAATGGCATGTCTGGCTTTAACAAAAAAATCAACCTTAAAACAAATTTTTAACATCTTGAAATCTTCGTTTGAAAGTGAAATAACTCAAATCGATCCTTGACAAATGAAACAACATATGAATCCATCTTGAATTTGAAATGAATCTGAACCATGAATCGAAATGAATCCACCACTAAATCAATCCTTGGACTTTGTCACTTGCTTTGATAAACCAAATACTTCACTGTGAACCTTTGTAATACCCTAATTTTTACCCCTAAGATCCCACATATTATTTTTATTTCATACCACAAGTAAGATCACAAGCTTTAGTTCTCTTGTCTTCCTCTGCAGGTTTGTCTCTAAGGGATATCATTGGGCACCCTTGTTTTCTTGTATGCTTGGTGTTTGTTTTTGCTTATGTTTACTAACCTTTAATCAAAATCCAAAAATATGTTTGTTTTCTCTTTACTAACTTTTTCAGGAAGAGGTTTTGATCAAGAACACCAATCAATAGTCCCTCAGCTCGAATGAATTCCATCTAAAAAAGTCAAAGTTGATCTGCAAACAATTCAAAATCATTTGATCAAGAGTTCTCAAGCATTAATTGATTATTTTCAAGAAAAATCCAAGGTTCATGTGTTTATATCTATGCCTTTTTTGACGAGCAAAAGAATCTAGTCAGAGCCAGCACAATCCAGCCAACAGGGTATTTTTCAAGTTTTTCAACTATGCAATCGATTGCACTATGGTCCAATCGATTGCACCCTGCATTTTTTGCCTAGATTTTGAAGTTTTCAGCAGTGCAGTCTATTCGCGCTATAGTGCAATTGATTGCACAAGGACAGAGTTGGCCAAAATCAACAATTCTCAAATTTTGAAGCATTTGGCACCAATTTTATCATTTGGGAATATTCTAGATCACCCGAAAATAATTCCACTACCTCATCACAATTAATTCCCACCATACACCCTAATTAATCACCACTTGATCATTAATACTTCTAAATTCAAATTCCAAGCCTAATTTTGATTCCAAACCACCAAAATTTCCAAGCCTAAGTTCTATAAATAGAGGTCTCATTTCATTCATTTCACAAGCTTTTGATAGCCAAATTCACCTTGTACAATTCTTTCTTGACTCTCTCTTTTTTCTCAAATTACCAAATTCACCAAAGCTCTTTCTTACTTTAAAATTTAGTAAGTTCATCATTAGAACTTACTAATCTTTGAGCTAAACCTTCATCCATTAACTTTTTCATCATCAATTTTTGTAGATCAGGCTTTGGAGTGTGGTTTTTGGAGTTGATTTGAAGAATTTTTAGATTTGAAGTGGTAAACCCTTGTTCCACCATTGTTGTGCTTGATCCATCGTCTACAATGTGATATATTGTTGATTCTTGTTGCTTGACCTTTAGATCTTACAAATTATGTTCCATTGGTGCTATTTGCTATTATTTTACTTGAATTTTAATGCTCAATTGCATCCTTGATCATGA